TATAGTATTTGTTACATTTATTGCTCATCCAGATTGATAATTCTTATTAATTTGTTTTGCAATAAATTATTTAATTTCATTCGCATTTTCGATTGGTTTGCATTTAAACAAATAATGCCACTATGTATATCGAAAATAGGGGAAAATTGTAATACCCCACCCAACTTAAGCCTGTATTTTACCGGATATGCTGTATTCTTAGTAGTTTGGAGCGCGCCATCAATGATTAAAAAGAAGTTGCTGTGTAAAATTATAGGCACAACTACATCTATGAATGTTTGTAAATGTCTGTAAAAAATTTCAGATTTTTAATTATGACTGTCGACTTGCCCATGATAAACACGGGCTCTTAGATCATAGGCTTCATGATGTGGTAACCCGTGTGGTAAACATCCAGTGTACTACCGCCTAAATTTATTTTTCTAAGACACAAAAAACATATTTGACGAAAAACTCGGAAGCGGTTAATGAGATACAAGCGGAAAAAGGGGGTGGTTACGCCCCTTTTTCCCCTAGTTTTAAAATATTTTTTATTATTTAAAATATGTACGGTGTCTCATGATTAACTGCTTAAGAGTTTTTCGTCAAATATACTTATTGTGTCTTTGAAAAATCAGTTCTACAACATATCAAAAAGAAATTGTCCTCTGGAGCCTGCTTTACCCTCTCTAGATTAATCAATGTACTTTGCGCACACGTAACATTGTGTTGTTTAGCTTAAACCGATGATACAAGGTCTAAAGTTCAAGGTGTTTTCCGTTGACTTAAGATGTGTTCATGTTTCCTGATCATTGTTAACGGCTTTACATATCCTTCCTTTTTGTTGTAGCACCACCTATATTTATATATCAAATATACAAACAAATAAATAACATTCGAGGCATTGTAGAATGAAAAAAAAATACATTTTGAACTTCATTTTTAAAAGACCAACTAATTTCACTCTGTTCATAAATGATGCAATTTGAATTGGCCTACACACCATAATTTGCGTTCTTATGTTTCCATTTCACTTCCAGAATAGGAACTGTAGTATGCAGTACAACGATTGCAATGAAAACACTGTAGCGATTTTAAGAAAATAATGTTAACGCTTAATGGTGATAAAAAATATATTTGAGAAAAACTTATGTCCCTCATCGGGATTCGAACCTAAGATCTTCCGATTACCGTTCGGATACTCTACCAACTGAGCTATGACGCCAAGTGGTATTACACCCTTGGGTTTTCCCATTAGTATACGTTACGCAACGAATAATAGTACCAGTATATCACATGAAAGCATGAAAGTCATTTTGGTATGGAAATACACCTCCACTGTGTTAATTAAAGATGATAATAAATATTTTAAAAACGTATGTCCCCCACCAGGATACGAAACCAATTCCTCTTTATTTCTGGGGGTGGGAAAGGTAGCGAAGGTGACAAAAATATATTCAATGTTAAATTAGAGCTATTAAAAATAGGCAATAAACGTAATCTTCATCTCGTTGCTGCAACATTGTGTTAACGTCACATTATGTTTGTGTTTTCTGGAAGGGTCTACTGTACATGGATCCTATCAATATTCAAAGCTTAATCGGGGGTGGGGGTGGGGGGTTAGGGTGCACCGGGATGGCGCGTCCCATTTGCCATTATTATTATTATTTATTATTATTATTATTATCATCATCATCATCATCATCATCATTATCATCGTTATTATTATCATTATTATCATTAATATGTGTGTATCAACATTGACTCTGGGAAAGAAAGAATAATGATCTATGGGAAAGAAAGAATAATGATAATTATATTTAAACTTATTATTATTATTATTATTATTATTATCATCATCATCGTCATCGTCATTGTCGTCGTTATTGGTTGTTATTATTAATAATATATTTATCAGTATTTTAATAGCATGTAAAACTAGCGCAAAGCTTATTAAGTTCACTTAATGGATGAGGCCTTAATGGGTATCTACATATTGTTAGTATTTGTGACGTGAATATGTTGCGTTGTTGCACCTAGGTATCTAACAGTCAAGGAGGCCGAACTCATGTGGTAATGTAATAGTATTTCAAAACTGAAAGAAAATAAAACTAAAAAGAAAAATAAAAAATAAAACTAAACAAACAATCTAAAAAATGTCGCACTCAAAGAATATGGAATAGAAGACATGGTGTTATTATTGATGTAATGTTTAATTATTTTGTGATATTTTTGTTGTTTTCATATAGATTACGTATAGTCACTTCATTTTCTTTTTAATTTATACTATCCGACAATTTTGCTTTCGTTCAAATAACAGTAACTACATTACAATAATGCTACAATTAATGACTCCCGGAGCTATTAGAGAGTTGAATCAACAAAGTGTCGTCCGAAGTTTCATCTGCTCTTAACGTCAGCATAAACAGATATTTACAATAATGTTTAATAATTCCCTTTTCTCTTATAAGCATTGTAATTGAGGTTATCGAACTTGTTTTTGTTGCTTGTTTGTTTTTATATGACTGTATTGTAACCGATATACAGACTAGACCTTGTTTGAATGAGAAAGTAATAATAATAATTCTAACTTACATAGCGCATTTTCAACATTTTCAATGAAAACAGTTAAATGCGCTTTACAAATGTTAAAATAGACAAATTGAGTCAAAATACAGTACATTAGAAATAATTATACAAATGCTCAAGCTTAAAAACTACCAAATAAATACAAAATGCACAAATTTAAAATTAATAAACAGTATTCAAAAGGAAGCCAACGACCAAACAGAGCCACAAACAATCGCGCATTAAAAACAAGCACATCAAGAACTTGAATAATTAATACATTTAAAAAAAAAAAGTTAAAGAAACAGTCAGAAAATTACCCAGCACACCACTGATTGTCTGCACACCACGTATAGTAAAATGGCGAGTTTGGCCTAGTACACTTTCAAAAGTGTTGAGTGTTAAGATAGTATAATACATACTCAAAGTATCGAAATGCACGCCATCGTGTTATGTCGAGATTCAATATTTCGACATTAATTATGCCATCATCGACATTAATTATGTCATCATCGATTCCTTATGATGACATAATTAATGTCGAAATATTGAATCTCGACACGATGGCGTGCATTTCGATATTTGGAGTATGTATTATACTATCTTATCTGAGATTAATTAGTGGACCTTTCGGTTTTTGAGTGTTAAGGTTTTCAATTTAATTTTGAAAGTGTTCAGCGCGGTGATTTGTTTATTAAGATCAATAGGGACGCAGTTCCAAAACTTAGGTGCAGCGTATGAAAAGAATTCTGTCCCCGATGGTTTTCAGCGATTTTCCTCTATAGGATAATCCAATTTAATACTGTTACAAGACCTTAAACTGTATTGAGATGATTTAACCTGTAAGAGATCAGCAGGATACGATGGTCAAGTTTTGTGTAAGCATTTCCAAGTTGAAATGATTATTTTTAACTCAATACGATGCTTTATTGGCAACCAATGTAAGTCGAATAGAACTGGGGTGATGTGAGCCCTAATGCATGTGTTTTTGTTAGAATTCTTCTCAATTTGGCAGCTTTGTAATAAAATCAACTGTTTGCAGTAATCGGTTTTGCTTGTGACAAATGAATAAATCAGAGTATATAGAACATTCAGGCATCTGCTGATTCTTCTGATATTACGTAGTTGATAAAAACTACTGAACAAACGAGATTAAATATCTTTCTTGATGGACATATTTTTTATTCAAAAATACTCCAAGGTCCTTAACATTATCAATTAGACATCCGAAAGATTAATATGAATGTTTCCAACTTTATTATTGTTGCCGTGTACCCAATTAATAGAAGTTCAGTTTTCTCCTCGTTCAAAAGCAATCCATTTTAGAAAATTGAGTTGAAATCAGCCTAGTGGATCAGCCTTACAACCTATAACATTTTCAGAATCTCCAGGAAGAGAAGATCCCACCGCTGCGTCTACCTCAACGTTGACTCAATCCAATTTCTGACAACTGGAATTATCAACAAGATGAATTTTAAGGGCAAGTACAATAGTTCCTATGTGTGAATTGTTTGTAGCCTTATTCTAAGTTATACATTTTAAAGTTACTAATTAATATTATTAAAGTAAATAACTTAGTCTGGCTGATACATCAGGCCCTGTTAGCGAATTCTATGGCAACAAGTTCCCACTACCACTCGTTGTCTCATAGCAGGCATGGTGTTTGACATGTTAACATTAATTATATATTTTTTTGTATATAAATAAATTTTTAATCGAGTGTTCTGGTGAATGACACGGTCTATCAAATTAAAAATACAACGCCGTCAAAATGGTTCTCTTTCATCACCATTGAAAGTTACTTGATAGTTGGTCAAGTTTATTATATCAATTAATATTAATAACATTAAGTTTTATTGAAGTAAGTCAATCTATCGTTACTGGTAATATATCATGTTTTTTTTTAAGTATCGAGCTCACCTGCCAAACAGTTTGGGAACATGATGTACCACAATGCAAGGATTAATAGGGAGAACAGGAAAGATTTGCGGTGCCATATCCCTATTTGAATACTATTATGTACGCCCAGTTTTAAAGAAAGAGCGCTTGTGGGCCTAGGTCAAGTATGTTATACTAATAAGTATACGTAAAGTTACTTGATAGTTGGTCAAGTTTATTATATCAATTAATATTAATAACATTAAGTTTTATTGAAGTAAGTCTATCTATCGTTACTGGTAATATATCATGTTTTTTTTTAAGTATCGAGCTCACCTACCAAACAGTTTGGGAACATGATGTACCACAATGCAAGTATTAATAGGGAGAACAGGAAAGATTTGCGGTGCCATATCCCAATTTAAATACTATTATGTACGCCCAGTTTTAAAGAAAGAGCGCTTGTGTGCCTAGGTCAAGTATGTTATACTAATAAGTATACGTATTATTATATAGGTCTAGTTTTAATACAGTACCGGTACCGTAAGTCATGGTTTAGTCAAGTTACTGGTACTATAGATATTTTGTTAAAGTATCGAGCTTACTTGCCAAACAGTTTAGGATCATGATGTACCACAATGCAAGGATTGATAGACAGAAAAGGTTTGCGGTACCATTCGTATTTGAGAAGCGTATGTATGCTTATTTTTTATTTTTAAGCACTCTGATCTTTACCAGACCATACGTTATAACAAGACTATATGCATCTATTAATAATTGGAGGCGGCCAAGGCTCAACATATCAAATTGAGAAATCCAGATTGATAAAATTTAGGTATACTATATTATATGCAATTATATGTAATATTTTCTTTATAAACTCTGTAGCTATTCTTTGCAACTATTCTTCATTTAATATAATGTACAATTAATTGATATTAAGCTTAAATAGTATTAATTCAGATATCTTATTGATTCATTATAGATCTAATTCTGGCATGATGCACCACAGCGGAAGGATTGATAGGAAGAAAAGGTTTGCGGTACCATTCGTAATTGAGGAGTGTATGTAGGTCTATGCTTATTTTTTATTTTTAAGCCCTCTTTACCAGACCGTATGTTACAGAATTAAGCTATATTCAATGTATATTAATAATTGGAGGCCAAGGTTCAACATATAAATTTATGAGAAATCCAGATTGATAAAATTTAGGCATATACTTGCATCAAATGCAATTATATTTAATATTTTCTTTAATTTCTGTAGATATTCTTTGCAACTATTCCTAATTTAATATAATGTACAAGTAATTACTAAGATTTTAAGCTTAAATAGTATTAATTCAGACACCTAATTGGTTAATTACAGACCTAATTCTGGCATGATTTACAATATTTAATGCTATGAAAATTATGTTGAACAAGGTTAATTCAAACTTAATTGGTATTTTCATGATCGAAATTGGACGATTTTACGACTTTGTAATTTTCCTATTGTTTTGTGTTCTATGGCACAAAACGCAAAGGCGGGATTCTCGCTGTCAAGGTGAGTGTCATACCCATTAGACCACGGAGACCGGTAGAAATATACAAGCAGATCCAACCCCCGGGTACTTTCTTTTATGCAACTGACCGAAACGCTCATACAAAGTGGCGCTATGGACAAGCTAGAAAAGCTTTTGTATCATTATCTATTTTAGTTATACGTTTATTTTACTGGGAATATGCGTGCTCGCAATCCAGTCAAAGACAGTAGGATTTGAAAGTTCAATTTCGAAAGGTATTATAAGGGTGAATATTGGGCCTTAATGAAGAATGACTTTGTATCCAGAGAGAATCATTATATTCATAATCTAAAGGAATATAGAAAGTATATTAAATAGAAAGTCTGAGTTTCATGTAAGCGAAAATGGTGATAACTTTTTTTTTAATGTCAAGGCAGTAATAAAACAAAAGAAAGTTCATAAAACTATCTACTAAATTTGAGGTGCAACATTCCGAAAATCAATAATTATTCTTCGTGCCTGTCAAACTGATACAATTACGGTAATCCAACGAATTGAACTCCAAGTGATTCAAACCTCTTTTTATTATTCATTTCATAAGAATAACATTTAATGTGTCTAGAGGTTCCCATGGCAACGCGTCCTCTATTCATTTCCCGTTTGCCTCTACCCCGGATAATTAAGCACTACGTTTACATAAAAAAGGATAAACAGCAAATCGATAGTGAACACCTGTCCGAGTTCCTACCCATCTCCACTCTACGTCGGTATGAAGCCTGCATTTAACTATATCGTTGAGTTGAAATGGCTTAATAATTAATATAACGCCATCGATCCTCTGGTCCCCAGTCTCACGAAATAGAAACGCGGAAAGTACGACCAGATATACGCCTCAGAGTTGAATAGTAATGCACTTCACGCGACAACTCGAGCAGACCTGATTTAAATGAAGTTTCACAGAGAAGTGTAGAAATTGGAACAGGCATCGCAGTGTGGTTTACCACCGTGTTCTCTCTAACACTTTCACCTGAGAAACGGTGCACAAACATGTCATTCGGGATATAAGTAAGTTGAATATTAAACAAATAATAATAATAAAATAATAATAATAAACAAAGAATGCATGTACATATATTATTAC